ATTGAATGACTAACTCTCATGGACTCTCTAGAGTAGATATAGCACTATTTTCTTGGGCTTGCATACCAATCAACAGCCGTCTGAATACGTCTGTAAGAATTAAGAAAGATAGTGAGACTTACAGATGCATATTTGTAATATTCATCTACGCAACTACAAACTGGAGTTCGGATGATACAAAGGATGAATTCTATCAAAAGCTGTATAACTTGCCATGTTAAGCAAGATGTCCAAATGTAGTCATGATAGCAGGCTACTTTAGAGCCCAATTAGGGATGATGGGCCAGTCGGAATGGCATCTTCGAGATATCTGTGGAATCCCATGCCAACGAAGTGGCAACAGTGATCATTCTCTATATTTTCTGACAATCACTTGATTCTAATTAGCACTAACTTCAAGCATTGGGAGAGATACTGTCTCACATGGCGTTCACTAAAATCAAACCAATGATGGACAGAGATAATCCATCACTGTGAAGAATTAGTGGAGGATTGTCACTCTTTCTAGAGCACCGTTTGAGTTCCCCTGACAAGATATCAAAGGAACCCGTATCTCTGCTCTTTACTGATTGCAGAAGAAAGAAAAAGCAAAGCTTGTGTGTATACTCAGTTTTAAGTCGACAACTCAAAGTATGTATTTAGGAGGGAGATAATAAAGCACCTCCCTGAACGTAGCACCAACCCTCAATCTCTGGGAACGTGACATGTTATTCAGTCTGCTGTAGAAACGGAGGTACAGACAGGTGACAACCCAAATCCAAAGGTTAACAAAAATCAATGGATTCCTGAAATAGCACCTGAAATGACTGATGAGACAAGACTAAGTCCAGCTGACTCTGAACACGGTGATGAAGGAAGGCAGCTCAAACATAAATTAACTAAAAGTCTTCATAGTTTTTGTGACCAATTATGGGTGGCTAAAGTGAGGGAGATCGAAAAGGGATCAGCGTCAGGTGTTATCCGCAGGAATCATCTGATCATATTAGGAATACCACCTGGAAAAAGGCAATGGTGTGAAACCATCACTGAAAATGATGAGACTCTGATAGCCTCTTAGGAAAGACAGCTAGGACGTTGGGCGTAACATTCTGAAGCCCATTTCAGTTGGCCTACAGTGAATCTTCAGTCACTAACTATCCAGCCTGAACCTGGATGAAACGTAGATGTTGGTCGTTCAACTCTTCGAAGTGGAGAAGGCTGTTTCTAACGTGAAACGAGGCAAATCAATAATACGTGACAGTCTGTCACCAGAAACTTTTAAGCAAGGAGGTCAAAAATTACCGAGCAGTGTAACGGAAGTACTAGTGTATAGGAATCAGAGACAACGCTGTCGGATTTGTCAACTTCACTGGTCATTTTCAGTATATAATAAAGGAAATAAGCCTTATGACAATCAATAAGGATTCAGTTTGACTAATATCGTGTCCGAGATCCTTGGGTCCATAGTTATACGATCCCTAACTGGAGCTCAGTAATAACAAACTCGATAAACTCAGGCAGGTTTCAGACCTGAATGAGGCTGTGTCGATTAGATTTTCACCCTGTAACAGTTTCCATAACAGAGACCTGCGTGTTGGTTGCCATCATACCGTATGTTTGACTTGAAAGTGGCATCCGACTTCGACGACCAATAGGTGTTCTTGCAGTGTCTCAATGTGGAATGAGTACCGAGGAAGTGTATGGTGCCAGTCAGTGATTCCTACTCAGACTCACACAACCATGTAAGGACTCGTGAACAACTGTCATCTCTGAATTAGCGATAATTAGTGGTGATGGCCAGGGATGCCTGCTGTCGGCTTTGTAATTTGATTTCTTTCGGAATGTACTAATGGACATAACTTTAGGTATTTCTGACTTCACGGGGGTATATCTACTTTTTGGAGTCCATCTCGTTGATCTAGAGGATGCAGTCGATATTTCCTTGTTAGGTGACGACTCCGACAAACTTTAGGGTATTTGAACACCTTGAGCAAAAATTTGAATGTATTCGGTATGTTTTATACCTGTGAAATGTAAGACGATGCTTCAGGACTGATCTGCAACTGATTCCAATTTATAGTTGGGGTTGTAATTGTAGAGTGCGTTGACTGCTTCATTTACTTGGGAAGTTGAATCAGCTCCCATGGGGAAATCTCAGCCAGGATACTAAAGGCCCAGTTGGCATTTACCTTCTAACCCACCTCTGGCATCGGCAAAATATTCAACCACTTATCAGAAGACAAGATACTGCCCTTAGGTGCGCCTCATCCCGTCATAAGTCTGTGAGCCGTGGTAGTTGAAATTAGAAGATATGATAAGATTAAAAGCCTTTGAATACATGTGTCCTCACAGTACTGTTGTTGTAAAGAGAAGTTATTGTATGAACAATGTGGAAGTTTGATCAAGGGTAATAGGTGAAATAAGGCAAGTCAGTCGATGAAGTTGTGAACCCTCACTGAAAGAGGCATCCTAGACACACGTTGAGCATTCCAAGCTATCGCCTACTTCGAAGTGCAGTTTCAGCCAGAATGGAACTGGGTTGGGAGAATGCCCAGTGGGACAAAACGGAGTCTATGAAGTCTCAGTCTGTTGATCTGAGTAGTGTAATGAAAAGTAAACTGCATAAACATGATAGAAATCACTTCCTGAAGATCCTTCGTGACATGATTGGAAATTGATCACAGTGGTGTGAATATGCACATTCTGAAGTCTTCTAAAGTTTGAACCTTTCCATCTACAATTTTCAAGTTCTTTGCTTCCTACACACTTTTATCTATATTAATATTACTCTTTTCTTATCCACTTATTTACATGGTGCTGTGATGTGAGCACTTCTTTGTGAAGTTCTGCGTTGATTCTATGTCTGTTCAAGTTTTATCAATTACTGAAATCATGCACATTTTATTTTGTTTACCGCTTAACTAAATAAATCTACTCATCTAATCACGTGCACTTAGATGTACGTTGGAAACGATTTGCATAAGGCGAATTATAAGCTTCCATATTTGCCTGATAAAGTCATGACAAAAAGCCTTCAAAGTTTTATTTCTTTCAAATGGTATCAGGAAACATTAACCATCATTGTATCTTTGTGGTCCCTCTTCATTGTAATTTAAATGTTAATCACCACAAATAACTGGATTCATGTTAAATCCAGAAATAGGAAAATCTGAAAAAATGCTTTCATTCTCGTTTGTTTACATAGTTTGTTTTAATTTTCAGAGGTGAAGATAATTTTATCCTTTTTTAAAATCACTTAGCTATCTCTTAGATTTAATTTGAGGCCATATTAACGGCATTTATTGTCTAGCCACATAAGCTACTGAAAACTCCCTTGATGTCCTCAATGACTTACAGCTCAATGTTATAATCGAGCCATCAAAAGTAGCTGACACTAATTCTGATCTCATAAACCAAATGGAAATAAATTTCTCATTTTCAAGACAAAAAAGTTATGATATTACTTCTGACTGAATCGTATGCAATAGAGCACTGTTCATTTCACTTGCTTTTCTCAGTCAAGAAAATCAGAAGTTGATGCATCTTCTCTGGGCAATGTGTGTTTGAGATCAAGAGTTTTGCAAGTGGAACTTATCTCCTCAAGTTTATTAACAACAGACAATCGATCACTGAGATAATTCGAATCAGTTAAATTTGGTATTTTTTAAAATGACACCTAGAAGCCAAAAATCCGCTGAAAACAGAAATATTAATGACAACATTTCTTCGAAAGTGATTTATAAAATGTGTTCATTCCATTTGAAAAAAACTGGAAATTCTGGGTATTCTGACAATTGTTTGATTGTATTCCAGTCAATCTTCGTAGTACCTATCAATTGAATTTCCCTAAATCTATCTCGAATTTTAAAATGAGCGTAGTAGCATCAGAGAAACAGTGATTTATTGTGTAGGTTAACCAGTTTTACTCACAAAATAAAGAAATTTTAAAGTCATTTACATGTATATTACTGAACTTATCACTTCTTTACAAGCATTCTAGAAGTAATACAAAATAAATCTCAGACTATATCTCTTTAGTTTGTTGTCAGTAATCTTCAATATAATTCGTCGGCATATTCACTGTGACAGAGTCAGTATCACGTTTTCTAAAAGAAACAATCACTTCAAAATATTTTTCACTCAACAATCAAGTTTTATTTAAAATATCTTTCTACACTACTGACTTATTGAAGTCAGTAATTTCTTTGCATTCATATAACAGGATGTTAATGAAGAAAATATTCTAAAATTTATTCTTCTAGCTCTTTCACTCTAAAGTTAAGGTATTCTGCTCACATATCTGAAACAGAATTCAAGCATACCTACACTTTATGATATATACTAAGGTTAATTATACACCTGTTTGAACACCCACATATGATAATTTACATTGATTGGCCTACTGAACCACTTTCTTGATTATTCACTCCATTCACTCATTGATGAGTTGGTAATGTTATGTAAGAGACAGATTTACAGATACAGAGAAACAGACTCGGAAACATAAGAAAAAGCGTGTATGTTAGAGACACACAGAGAAAGAGAGAGGTTCAGTCCAATCTTGATGCAGTGTCGTATTGAAACATAATACTGTAATGTATTTTAATTTAAATCAATTCCGGAGTATCCAATTGTAATAAAGGCCATGTATTTGGCCGACCAGTAAACGAATTAGGTTGTGTAACTCACTTTGTTAACTTGGTCACCGTATCTTAGTCTGTAGAATATCTCACAAGTGCGTATACACACCCACCCACACTCACACACACACCAATCCACAGTGGCACATATGTGTACAGAAAACTATGAGCACGCATATTAACAAATAAACACAACTGTTTGCACATAGCCAGCTAGAGGAAATAGTGCTTGCCTATTAAATAGGTGTAAATTTCCGTTTGTGATACTCTGAGAGCAGCAGTCCACGTTGTCTATTAACTGGAAATAGGCATTTATCAATCTGGTGTTATCTTCATTAGTATCAACCTCTAGTTTGGTGTTACAACTCAGTCAGAAAAAAAATGACCTGGTGCTTTACAATTTCAAAGTTTATTCTTTTCTGTTTAAATTTCTTATTCGTGGTAAGTTTGTATTTATGTGATGAATTAACACACTTCACTAAAATAATAAACATCCAACTTAAATGATAGAATGTAAAAAGTAGAAACGGTGGAGAATATTTGTCGCTCAGGTGAATGGTCTTGGTTGTATTGTGTTCTCTGAGCTCAGATAACACAATACAACCAAGAATGTATAGAGTCATTACACCTAATATTTTCAGCCTTGAGAAAAATAAGTAGAAACTTAGCAGTTTAAGAGTAGGAACTGAGCGCTATAGTAGACTACATTCCAATGTAGATTTGTTTTTTTGATATGAGTATACATATTTGTCATTATTTAATGTATGACGTTGCAGGTGTACTTCAGCATAAAAGTTATCGAACGATATTGTATATTTGATTTTTACCTTCCTACAATCTGTTGTTCCTTGGAATCTAAGTCTGTCTAGCATTGCTCTTAAATCATTTTTGTAATCAGATATGAGTAGGGAGGTATAAAAGCTTTTTCGTTTCCCTGTTGTATTCATTTTATAACAAAATAAGTGTCCATATCAAGCTAAATGATATTAGATGAACACCGAACAGTTATCAATAGGTATAGATTGGGAAGGATAGCTAAGTTGTTTTGTTATCAAAAAATGGTTGAGTGTATCACATTATTGTCTATGCTTTGCAATGAATAAGTATAGGGAGGAAGTGACAAACTGTAAATCGAGCCCAATAAGGGAATAAAAACTTAGCTGAACTGTCAGTAAAGTAACTATGAATAAACGTTGTAGGCTTCAAACCAGTGATCTGAACAGCATAAACAAGTAGATGTTTCGCTTTTTCTACTTGAAAAGATAAAATTTGCGGAGATCTACTATAGCAGTCATCTGTGTGGCTTAGGAATGAACTCACTACCTGGCCATAATGTTATTTGACTATGTTGTTAGATTTCATTTAATATATAGTAAGATACAAAATGTAGATAAATATACATATCTGGAATGAGTTTAAGTATAAATATTAAAGGAAACTCCTCTTGTGCAACAATCGTTACAATGACTTGAAAACCAAATTCATTGCTGTCCACTTACTTAACCACTAAGTATTCCTGAGTACAATCCATGTCAGCTGTCAGATGAGTTGCTTTCTCTTTAATTTTCTGCTTGCAGACACCAAACTTTTTCCTGATATTCCTAAAATCAGCTATGGCTTTATTTTAAAAAGTCTCTGAATATTCACTCAGCTTTCCTCCTCGTATAACTGACATAATTTAACTTGCTGACACAGTGAAATCAAATTTTTGTAGTAGCTTAGTCTGTTAACGTGTCAACTGTCTACTTTAACTGTCTTGATAATGATCATCTTAAAATATTCATTGTTTTCATAAAAACTTTATGGATCAAGTTATCAAGTACTTAGATCTAGATGTAAATTTCTAATTAGAGCAGAGCCAGTTATATTAAAGTGTTGAAAAAACTGCATTAGAAAAGTATGTTTTCTAAGTTGAACATTCAACACTTTAACATCGTCACTGGAGAACAAAAACTGTTTTCATAGACAAGAACAGTTTACATTGCATAGGACAAGTTAATAACTGTCTGCTCTCCTCTGAGTTTTGTTGTTACCCGAGAGATATTACCACTATGACGTGTCAAGTTTCAGAGAGTACTAAAAGATCATCGACGTGATCTTGAGCTACAAGTATTTTGCACTACTTACTGAGAGGTTCAGAAACCACTGATCATATTGGCCTTGAGATGAAGATCAAGGTTAGCGAGTAATCTTCGTCAACCTGAACAGAGTAGGCTTAACAAGCTTTAGCGGTTTTAGCCTAATTTTTTAGCTACCACAGATAAGTCTCTGTTCAGAATTATAACCAACTCACTACACCACCTTTCGGTTAAGCTGATTTTCATATAGAAGAATATTAGGCGACTGTAACACTTCTTCAAGAGAGCTGACATTCTAAAAAAAAGTAGCTGAAAAACAAAATGATTGAAATACCGTGCAGTTTTGGCTTTCATATCTGTAGGGTTCCATCACAATCAATAACGTCATTCTTACCCGCATTTAAATCACATATTTTGTGGATCACTCACTTGAAATTGCATACAAACATAAAGACAAAGAGATAGTTGCTTACATATTTGGGTTCATGTATGATTAAAAAACACATTTGAAAGAACAAAAGTCAAACGAAGGTAAAGCACACAATACATTTAAATGACTAAACTATTTCTCACTTCCACTCTCAGAAAGAATTTCCTTTCATTTTAATCTGAGATGTAAAATAATTTGAAGTTAACATTTTATTTAGACTGATGGCACTATAGTATTTTGAAATCAATTTTTAACGTGAAAAAGATTAAAAGTCGACCATTGACGTGTAGGTCTTCCTCTACATTACAAGATACTTCTTAGCGGTAAAACTACTAGATTTCATTCTATTATATCAACAATGGGATATTCCTTTTCAGATCATTATATCAAAAATGAAAATATATGATTATTCTTTGAACACGGGAAAAAACAGTCATGATTTAATGACAAATTGTAGAGAAAATGATTGTAAAAATATTTCACTTATTGTTTCTTCAAGTTTTGTCAACAGTGACAATACTCATAAAGGGCTGTAAGTGAACAAACATTAGGATAAAAGTATAATCGATTTTAGAGTTTGTAGTAAACAGGTGTGATCTATTTTGAAGAGATCAGCATTTTTGTGATCATTTTTTTCACAGCAAACTAAAACATGAAACAGACTATAACTGACATTTTATACTTGAAAAGATATATATATATATCATAAATTTAAGTGGACCACATCAAAAAATAAGTATATTTTGAGAATAGTGTTCATCACCACCATAAATGTTATTTTTATAATACATTGGATAAACTTGAAAAGTTTCATACCAATTTTAACATACATCTGTTTGCATGCCACCTCAAGTGTATAAAATTTGGATGAATCCCACACCAGTTTCATGGCTAAAACAAAGCGAACAAAATTACTGAAATTTTGTCGAGTCAAAGTTAATTACATAACACTGATAACTTTGAATAAGAAGTTAGCTGTTACTGATGATTGATAATAACACCTGATAAATGTTTATTTCAATGTACAGCATGTATTTATCACAAAGTGTAAACTGTGTTAAGCTGTTGAGTGTTTTCAGTAGTCGTGTAAAAAAAATGTTAAATTTGTTACGTGCTTCTTCTATCAAAACCGCAAGATGAACAACGACCCTAATCGACAATAACTAGCAAGATTGTCAGTTAAAGTTTTAGCAGGATTTTATAACTTTTAAGGGAATCCAGTATCTTGTTGGAATAATATCAACTCTGAAAGTAGAAGACATGTTATTGCTCATCATATACAGTCAAACATAAATGTAAACTTTCATATCTCAAACTAGATTCAACTCCGGATATCAACTTCAAACATTCCAAAAAACATCAAGCAAATATTGTTTCTAAAAAAACTATGTGAAGACGTAATAATGAGTGAAATAGTGAGAACTAAGGTCCAATGTCTTCAGCACATTTTTCTTTATCAGATAAGTTGGATGGAACTACCTCCAGTAAAATTAGATGTCTTTTACATAGCTTTCTAAAGTCCATCTATTATTTTAGTTGATATACTTAAAGTATCCTATTTTAATCTTATGAAAATAAAAACTCGTAGAATGTATAAATAGCAACACTGATTTGTTGCTATTTCAAATTATCTAACTGTTGAAGTGAGAATAAAGAGTGAACTATAAGAACAAATATAAGAAAGTAAAACGTGAAAATATGTATGTAAAGGTGGATAACAAGTGATTCTGAGATAAGAAAAGTTGTAGTGTTCAGGGCAAGGCTGAAAATAAATGTGCTTGTAGTATTAAAATAGATTTCAGTTCATTTTGTATGTTCTTTTACTGAGTCGTTTGCTCATAGTGGACAGTTTAAACAGCACCTTTTCAGTAGGTAACTCTGTTAGAGTATAATTTCAAATTGGACTAGCTTTAATGTGCCATAATGCCTAGTGATACAATAGCTCTGTGTTCTATGTCAAACACAGTAACTAAGGTATGGGAACAAATGACAGTGTTTAGCCCAGTAGCAGTGGACATCACCAACTGATTTTGCGCTATTTCTAAAACGGGTGTCTAATAACTTCACGACTCAAAAGAACCATGGATCGGCGAAATTTATCATTCCTTCACCTGCTGGCGATGTATGACTTATTCAACTTATTGAATCCATATTTTGAATTACAGCTCTTTTCATTTACCTTAAAGACTAAATTAGAAAACAATCATTGGATTGTGACCAATGGACAGAAAAAGCTGCATTAATGTCTAGGCTACTTGATAACTTGACTGTGGCATAAATGAGTAATTTACTCAGGACTTCTATAATAATGACTTGGAATAATTCACACGTGACCATATGGTAGCCACCTAAAGAGAGACTTTGAAAGCACCATATGATATACAGATTCAAGAAACAAAATGTTTAACGAGCAAAAAACAGTCACTTATACTTGTAGATGTGACTAAAGCAAAATAACTTTGGTTTGACCTTAAAATAAAAAGTAACTAGGCCTAATATGAAGTTACTTAGGCAGCTAGTACCTTTCAACCAAAAGTCTTAGGACACAGTTTCATCCCTGCTAAGGGTCACTTCATGTTTAATAATTGGTGTTTACAACCTTGACCTGTAGAGGTCACTTGTAGCTTCAGCAGGTTAGTTGTAGAGTCTGTGACCTCAGAACTAAGTAATATAAATTATTATCCTCAAGGCAACATGAGTTTCCTCAAGGCTACAGACTTGCTTATCTGATGAATGTTGAAAAGCTGGAAACATAGTTCTTGAGCTCTAGTCACTTTATTTTTAGTGTCAGCTTCAGTCATTAACAGAGTCTTATCTTATCTTCCAGGCTTAAGACAATAACTGTATTACTAATTATAATCCCATTTTTAGAAACTGAGTGCCTCTTAAAGAACAAGTGACGTAAAGTGAAGCAAGATAAGTGTTGTATTTCTTTCTTTGTAAGTTTAAGATGAAGCTTCAAAAAAGTTGATGCTTCATAATTATTTTCACGTAAGATCTATTATATTCGATTTATATGTCCGTTGCCTGTAAATCTTTTGTATTTATATAATATAAGGATTCCCATTAAATGTTAAATTACCACTTCCTGTTTATCATACGATTTAGCTTATTGGGTTAGCGTTGGTTGCAGTTGGTGCATGGGCTGCAGCAGATGACAAAGGCTTTCTTGATACAATACAATTCTTTTCGTCGAGTGAATCAATTGAAGTTCAACTGTACCAAGGAACATCAGTACTTCGATATTTCAGTTATGGTGTAATTGTGATTGGTACACTTATGGTGATTGTCACTTTTATTGGTTGTTGGGGTGTAGTAAGCGAAAACCGACAATTACTCATCGTTGTGAGTTTGTAGTTAGTTCATTTCCACTTTTAATCTAAATATATACATAATGCACTGATTGTACCGTGATCAAAACATAAAAACGAACGCATATTTTGCATGAAATCTCGTCAGGACTAACCTTCATATATCATTTTCCATGTGAAATACATATTGAGTAGCTAAACCGATTTTATGAGTGATATGACGTGTATTGCCAACTTCTATCTTCAGACTATTTACTTGTAGGCAAGATTACCACTTCTGAGGCCTATGTGACACTGTAATATAAAGAATAAAGAAAGAAAACACTATATTTAAAAACTGGGTCCTTACAAAGCATTACCAAATATGTTTTTCACTATATTTTATTGAACTATTAGGAATAATTTGTTGGAGGTCAACAGATTAAGTTTGTCCGCATGATATCTTTTCAGCAAGGAGCTAAAACAACTACAAAACTTGTTCTCCGCACATAACGGACTTGCGTTGCACAATGATGCAGTTAGTTTTGTTGCAAAATAACTTATCTCACAGTAAATTATCTTCAAGAAGGAGTAGGATGCTTCATTACACGCTTACTGCTTCTCAAACTTTATCAAAGAGAAAATGAAACTTAACATTTTATGAAATCTTCATGATATTTCCTAGAGCTGGTACTGAATGTGATGGATGAATTTCACCAGTCATCCCCCTATGAAATCAATGCAGAATGATTAATTTATTTCAGTGTAAAAAATAAAAAGGTAATTCGATATCCATAGCATTACATAACTGTGGGAACATTTCAGTAGCTACCAAGGAGAGACACATTTCAATCGTGTAACTGATATCGATCGTTTAATGTAGCCAACCTATGTTATATTTTAATTCATTGTTGTTTAAGTCTGTCTTATTATTAAAATAATGTTGTTTCACAGTTTATCAATTATTTTCATTCTAACGAAGTATACTCATTCATTCATGAGTATTTCGTCGACTTCGTTATCAATCTGCACAGTCGTATTTATAATCGGTAAAATGACAGATGATTGCACTAATAAGTTGCTTAGTCAATATACAAAAGATACAATTAGTGTTGATGGTGGGATTTATTCATGTGGAAGAAATAGAAAATGGGTCACTGAACAAGGAACAAAATAGTAACAAATAGCGAGATAAGGGACAAGTGATGTCGAAGAAGGGAAAAACGGTGATAATTATGATGATAGAAAAGAGGTACGCAAAGTGGAGTGAAATGAAATTGACAAAACAACTAAAATCAGTTGTTAAGACCATTGTAGAGAAAGTAGTTTCACAAACGTTTTTGAACGCATAGCTTGGGTTTCTGTTCGTGTATAGCTGGTGCTTCAGCTATGCATAAGTAGTGTAAACGTAGACCTTTGAACTAGTTCAGTTTAACTTCATGAATTGCCTTAAAGGAAGAATCTCGAGGAGGAGAACGACTTAACTCCACCAAGTGTTCACACATGAATGGAATGGTTTATTTTTGCACTTCTTTCATAAGTCAAACGGTGTAATCTTCGGAAGGGCAACTTACAACCTCAGGTATAGTCAGCCCCAGCTTCCTTGTGAGTGATTTGCAGACACATATCCTTCTGGGACGAAGACCGTCTACTGCCTTCTCATTAAACACTTTATTCAGAAAGTATCCAAATAACTAATACATAAGGTGTTGTTAACTATTAGACTAAGTGTCACTAGTGATAGTTTCATTGATCAAACGGCGGTTGTCTTCAGTATCAAGCTGAACTATAAAAATGATTCAGTTAAGTCACGGATGTTAAAGGTTAGTGCAGGTCTATGGTGAATTAATTAGGTCAAATGTTTCATTATTATTTGTCCCTTGGGTTCCTAGTGGAACATAGGGCTTCAGTAGCACGTCTCCATTTCACTCTCTTCTCTGAAGACTCTTCAATATGGCTCCACCACTGCCTCACAACATCTCCTCCATGTCACCTTTGCCTTGGAATCCCAACTCATCGTTTACTCTTTGTATTCTACTCGAGGGCCCGGCCTGACCTGGCGTGTGATGTCCCTAATCGGCCTTCTCAGTGTATGCCCAATCCATCTCCACTTTCTTCTGCATATTTGTTAGGCGATGGGTTCTTGGTTGGTTCGTTCCTAGAGTGAGTTCCTTGTTGCTTATTCTTATTACTCTGGCTATCTGACCTTCAGTCTCAGTATTGAGTTAGCGTAGGCAGCAGCTGTTGATGAATATCAGAAGTTAGTTGGAAATGCTTTTCTTGACGCGCCATCATAGGAGCACTGACTTGATGTTAGCGTTGAAAATCCGGTCAAATTCGGTCAAAATAAGAATCTAAGGCATACGTCTGGCAAATCTTGTATGGTTGACCAGAAGGGACTGTATCAGATTAGATTTTGTCATCTAGAAGTCATACACTTTAGTAATAGTTTATGAGCGAATTTCATTGCCATGCCTTACTCTTCTTTGCGTCAAGCAACACTACCTCATTGTACCTAACTGTTTCACTTCGGTTCCACTTAAAATGAGACTCCCAGTCTGATAGACAGTTACAGGGAAAAGAGTTGCTGAAAGTCATTACAGTCATAAATTTACAAAACCATAGCTCCATTACCCACTTCAGTGGCATAAATCACAGTCAGTTACAAATTATTGTGTAGATAAATTTCAGAATTGTGTGTTACAAAGTTCTGGGTTAATTACTTACGTCCAGCTTAACTGTATGCTTAGTTCAATTAAAGAGATTCCATTTGAATATTATTCATCGTAATAAAGTGTGTGGATGGTGGTGTTCCACCGCCACTAAGGACTATAATTAAAGAAATTTTTGTGGGATTTGTAGTAGAAAAATGGCAACTCATGAAATGGTGCAGTACGACAATGGATTCATTCTCTTTACTATCTAGTGATACTTATTTCTTAAAAATACCTCATAGAACAATTATTTGGTAATTAAAAATAATTATATTAGGGTTCTCAAAGGAAAGAGAATCAGTGTGACGTCTATTTAACTTGTGATTTTAGAAAATACATAGTGCATGTAAATATTTTTCAGTGGTCACTTACATTATTTGAAGAAGCACCAAAAGCTATGGAATACTGGTGTTTGTCATCGTAGTTCTGTTGCAAACTTGTCAGCAGCACGTATTATTATTTCTTGAACTGGTAGTATTGAGTAGTATTGAGCCTTCTAATACCTAGACTGTTCAAGTCCTGAATACTTACAACTTGACAGTAAGCAATCGTTGAAGTGATATTTGTCATTTTCTAGTTGCATTTGATTGTGACTAAAATGCATTATAAAATATCGCTCGAGCGTAACTAATTAAATATGTGACTAGGAAATGAATTACGACAAAATGACAAAACTTTTCTTTCTTTTTTCAAAATTTTATTCATCTAGTGATTCATAGGGTGAAGTCAGAGTATGATAAGCTGTTTAAAAAAGCAGATTAAGCAGTTGATCATTGAACATGAACTGAAGGCACTCAATAAAATGTAGCCAATAATTAATTTTTGTTTGAACTATTATCGTCTCCTTGTGGTATTATATTATTATTGTTTTTTACTATTAGTAGTATATTATACACTTCATGCCTAATATATACTGAGAGGAAGCAACTGAAGTAGAAAAGACTGATAATTCTTTATTATAACTTTTTTAGTTCACAAGTCTGGTTATTGCAATGGTCTTAATCGAAGGTGGTGGTGCAGCAGCAATGGGAGGTACAATCGATAGAGTAAGTATACGTTTACTTAGATAATCAACCTCCTAACTATTAACCTCCCAGTATAAAAAGTTAAATATTCTACACTCCGGTAAAATTATGTTTCACTACAATCCATCAAATATCTTGTAAATGCCTGGTCTCTGATGTGTCGTTGATTATGATGCCTACCGTACATTATCAATGAGAATATGCTACAGCACTAGTAACCATAGTTCTATGGATTTGTCTTTCTTTACAGTTTAGCTTAACAACTCACTGTATGAAGTTTAACACAAATTCATTGACCTTCTTCTACTTTCACGACATAAAAAACTAGACAGATTTTAAGCTTGAAAGGTGTCATATATATGAAAGAAGAACGATATCAAAGTAAAAGTGTTATGAATAAGCTTGAAAGTGTAATATACTTTCACTAACAAAGTAGATTTATAGTTCGTTGTAACCATAGATATTCTTTGGTACTGTCTGAGCTTGAATATTGCATTATAAATGTCTACCTAGCAAACCTATTCACCTCCTCAAGATCGAATTCATTGGACAGTGCATGTTATCTAGATGTATATTCTGTCGACTTAAAGATCAGTTAGAAAGCGATTCACCTATAGTGTCCATACATGCTTATATTTATCTATGTTGAAGAAAATATAAGATGAAAAAGATTATCATCCAAACTGCTCGTTTTTGAAATTGATAAAATAGTCCTAACCTCATTGTCAATAAAACGCTCCATTCACTATTTAGCTTCATTTTTTAAATCCACTCACTTCTTGATGAAATCTCTTCTTTAATTTCTTGGGATATAAAATGTATGAAACTGACATCTCTGTTATTCATTTATGGTTTAATATACCCATAGATACCAAAGATATTCAGTCAATGGAATCGCTCAGAATTTCAAATTCCATAGGATAAACTTATTTTATCATCTGTTAGCATTACAACTACCTTACTTGTATCACATTATCAATAACACATAACTGTTTCAGTTTTCGTTGCAGGAAAATAATACTTTAACATTTTCTCATGTATAAACTATTTCTTTTAATTAAGCATAGACGACATAATAAACCAATACAAGGGGATGATATGTACTTTCAAAATATAATTTAACTCGACACTAAAAAGTTGTAAGGTAAATGCTTAAAATGGTTGATGCGTTCTAAGAGATGTGACCATCAGTAATGTTAATAATTTAAGCGCTTGTTTTTATTTTTAAGTACTATGAAAAATATGTTGTGATACATTCATAAAATCATTTAATGTGAATTTTTTGTTTGAACCGTCTGAAGTTGTTAGGATCAGGAAATCACCCCTGGAGATTATCAGTCTCAGTTGATTAAAATAGGAATATCAAATGGTTTTATACCCCTCATTTCTCCTTCCAACACCGCCAGACAGATACAAAAACAAGAAATGGCATCTGCGGATAATAATAACTGTGCAATAACCGCTGAAGTTTATAGTAATGAAAGCCTTTCCATTAGCGTATTTCAGTAGTCACAATGCATCATAAACATTTGCTTCAAAAACTCATTATATGCATGTATATATATATATATATACATATATATATATATATATGCATATATATATATATATATATATCAAGAACAGTGACTTGAAAATACCTCGTTGATTATTCTACAGGAGCTTTATTCATCTTACTGTGGAGTTCCTAAGATAAATATTTAAGAGGGATGGTACCCTTAGAACTATATTTCATTGTTTTCCACCTTTTTGATGCCGAAACATGGAGCATGTTGAAATGACTCAGCATTACACACACAAGGTAACACATCACTCAATATCCCAGAATAAAGCCTGTGTTGTGCCATAAATAATAGTATGCGTCGAATAGTCAGTAATGTTAAAGTTATAATATCTACAGAAGGTGTTGTTCGTATCCTGTGAATCAGCTTCATTTACAGAGGGAAACTCAAACTTTCAGAGTGACAACCAAGGATAGTTTGGTAATCTTATGACTGCCATAAGTTCGGAAAAACAACCATTTATTGTATTCTGATACAAGACTTAAACTAAGTTGCACTCTTGAATAAACTTGAAATAGTGCAAATTCCTTCACAAAAGGTTACTCGATGATTGACTCTGACTCCAAGGAACCATCAGTTTATTCAGGTTTACAAAAATATCAGTTTTTACATAATGCTAGCTAGAAACATGGTTTGGTCATTTGAAAGCCTGCTGTTTTTTCTGAAATTAAAAACTTTTCAACTCATAACTACTTTTATTACTTTTTTTTCCAGTGGACAAGCGATTACGAGAACACAATTACAGAAAAGTTTACAAACAATTATGTTGGTACACTTGGTGCTTTCAGTATTTCTGAGTTCGAACCCTATTCACTAGGACTTGATAAGTTAATGATTGAGGTGAGTGATAGCATAACGTGAAACCTATACGTAATAGAAATAAAAATTGGTTATTTCTCATGTCATGATCAAAAAATGTCTGTGGTTTTTTAATTCTGTCGTTATCTGTATTTGAATATAAGAGTTATCTTCTTTATTAGCCATTATAGAAACCACGAACTAAATTTGATAGAGTTAAATCAGCTGAGGAGTCATGCGGAAGTGGAATTAGCTAAATCAATCAACATCTGTAATCAAGTATGAATTTAGATAAGGGCAGTCACAGTATCCAGTTGAATAAAATGAAGTACTTGGAATCAAGAGTTAGCAATGATGAAATGGGATAGAAATGATTTTAAGTACTTACTGATTTTGAGCAGGATTTTTATTTATCTCGTCCTACCTGTTTACCGAAAAGGCTACGAAAATATTTGCCTGTCTATAACTGATACGTTGAATAAAAGCTTTACTGTTCACCGATAACTTGTGGTATTGATAAGTTGTACAGAAGTATACACGTAAAAAAAATATCTAGAATGAGAGATTGGTGAAACATAATCGTCTTTAGCTTATATCTGCTTCTAACAGAATAAAATTAAGTCTCTCTTAATACTAAATAACAAAGACAAATGCTTTTTCGTATGATATAGTTATATGAGCTAATAAGAGTAGGCTGAAAAAGGTTCTATATTTTAAAATCCCTATTGCTTTGATTATGTAGGCCAGTGAATAAGCTCCGATATTAGATTGCTTATTTGATATTTCAAACCTTTAATATGAACAATAAATTCTGTTCGAAAAGTCATTTAGTAAATAATTCTGTTTCACTGTTCCAAATATCAAATAAACAAACTAATATGGAATTTTTAAAAAAGACTGATTGAGCGAAAAAAACTATTCCTCTTCAACTAAGTCTTCCTTTCGGGCTCTACATTAACACACAGTTTTACAATTCAATCAAAATACCAATCGAGTGGTGGACGGTTGGTGAACAATAATTACACATTTTAAGTAAGTCATGAAGATGATATTCTTGAAATTAAGATGTAAATAATTAATAGAGTAGTAGAAATAGGAAATCTGAAGCAGGTTATTCTTAAGTAAATGGAGTGATTTTTGATGAGTGTTCAGTCATAAGCAATAAACAATTACGTAGTAATGAGAAAACAAATGAATATTGACAGAAACAACAGGAGACAGGTGTGTACAAAGTAATACTGGGAGTTACATCATGTAGACGGCCGCAATAATGAAAGTCGTCGAGCGTTGGTGGTACAGTAAAGCGAGTCTATCATCGAATTTCTGAGCATCATCCATCATAACTGAGCAAGGAACAAATTAGAACAATAAAGATCTCCATACTTGCACATCTAGTTGACAAGGGACATCAAATGGATATTAGTAAAGCTTTCAAAATCATTCATCAGATTCCAATTAATTTACCACATGGATTACACACTCCCTTACTCCACATAACAGAGGCAATTGCGATCCACCTTTGCAAGCCTAACCTTCGTATTAAAAAGAAGTTTCTTCAACTACTTTCATTGCCATGGCCATCCATATGATGTAACTCCCAGTATTACTTTGTACACACCTGTCTCCTGTTGTTTCTGTCAATATTCATTTGTTTTCTCATTACTACGTAATTATTTATTGCTTATGACTGAACACTCATCAAAAATCACTCCATTTACTTAAGAATAACCTGCTTCAGATTTCCTATTTCTACTACTCTATTAATTATTTACATCTTAATTTCAAGAATATCATCTTCATGACTTACTTAAAATGTGTAATTATTGTTCACCAACCGTCCACCACTCGATTGGTATTTTGATTGAATTGTAAAACTGTGTGTTAATGTAGAGCCCGAAAGGAAGACTTAGTTGAAGAGGAATAGTTTTTTCGCTCAATCAGTCTTTTTATTAATATGCGACTGTAAACTACCAAAGTGCATAAGTTCCACTCTTACATCAGTAAATATGGTGTGGTCACTAAATAATTTTGACCTTGTTTTGTCATAGTTACTGTTTTCTGATCTCTTCAGTTGGACCCAATCCAACAGGAAGTAGGTTATATATTGATGAAGTTGGATGAAAACACTAGTGACTGTAGTACAGAATGCTGGCTGCATATATCTAGGCTTTGAAGAAGTGTCAGATGCAACTTAAGGACAAGTTTCAGAAAATACTTAATCAGAGTCGCAAAAATACTGTCAGTTGATTCTAAGCAAACAAAGCAATTATGGTCATTTTCTGAATAACTGATTTATATATAAAATGTCTTAGTTATTGGAGAATTAAAAATTAAGTCTATGATGAATAAAATTCAAGATACGCTTCTGATAATTTTTGCATTTTTTTCTTTTAAATTAGCTTGAATGCTGTGGATTGCAAGGTGGTAAAGACTTTGAGAATTCCAATTCACGGTGGTATAAAGAAGGTCGGAAATATCCTGGAACCACTGGTGGCGACGAAGTCAAAATTCCACCAGCATGCTGTATGTATACTTCAAAGGAATTCATGAAGAAGAGTAAGACATTTTTTATATATACAGCCTATCTCAATTCAGAATACTTCCTTTCATTGAGTAAACTGGGTCAATAATTACAGCCAACGTGTTGAATTCCTGAAATATTAGCTAACTATAAATCGATAATACGAACTTACATGACCCTAGGAAGTTGTATTTAAAGACACTACAAGCATAAACTTCTCCAGATTAATATACCTTACTGAGTGCTTTGACGATAAACGTCTATAAATTAGAAACTTAGTAAAAATAGAATGTGGTGTTTCATCTTTCATGCGAAATCAAAAGAGTAGTTTGAAAAATCAAACTAGTGATCTTTGTAACCCCGACAAGCATATTAACTTCGAGGTGCGTTTCAATCAGGCGCATTTCGTTGCAAACACAAAGTATAATATCCATCACAATAAAGCATCAATGAAAGAAGTAGTGGATTTCGAATAATCTGAAGTAAACTCTGAAAATGTTGCTTTTTGATCGGCGAATGAAATTATAGTGTTGTTAGATGCAGTAATTGGAAAAATCAGCCTAAATTAAACAGCTTGATACTCAAATGTCACATAACTATACGTTTTCATTCCATGATCATATCAGTGATTTGATTATGAGCAATAATTCATGTTCGAAACGTCATCAAGTAAATAATACTAGATCACTGTGTGTTATAAATCAAATAAACAAATCTAATATGGAATGAAATTCTACCACAGTGCCCAAGTTTTACACCTATATAAACTAAACGTTTTCCCTAAGTATACTATGTCTGTCGATTGTTTCTAGTGCAGTGAAGTTAGCATAAAATTTTTATTCAAGTTAATTATAATGCTTCGAATACAGTGGATTATTAAAAGAATCGAACATACTGAATGCTTACATGACCTACAATTCGTTACCATTATATCTATCATTTATTCTGACGTGATTATTAAATAACTACAATTGTGCTACCAAACAGGCAGAGATAATAACACAATTGTTTCTCAGCTTGAAGCCTATAATTACCCTTACTAGTCTCACACTGGTGAGGAATATATCACAGCCATTTGGCAAATTAAAGTTAGCATAAACAGTTCTCATGGAAAGTGCTTCTTAATGAACTCTGTTACTTTGTCAGACATCTAGTTATAACTGAACATGTGAGAGTTGATGAAATATGACACAGAATGCATTGTTGTGAGACTCATCAGATGGATAAAAGAGATCCGACTACTGTGAAGTAGCTTCATTTGTTTAAAGTTAAGCTGTTCTTGGAGTAATTTATGAATGAATTTAAAACACTACGCTAGCAACGACTAAAAAAGCCAATCAGATTCCTTTATTTTGACTACAAAGCAGATTTTCATAAAATACAGAAGTTTGATTGGTTATTTCAGTTTTTATTAGGAAGGCCTTCAGATTCACTTGTAGTTTATACAGTCTATAAAAACGAGTATAATCATTCACTTGATTAATAACCTGGATAAAAAAAAATATGTAAATAAAACATAATCGAATGATCCTATATTAGTACTCTCTAGTTCACTTACATATTTTTTTATCTATACCAGTGGTCTGAGGTGTATACTGGGGACAGAACTAAAGTTTTCTCGTTACAAAGATGTTCTAGCTAACATACTGAATAATCTTTCTGCAAGCAGGAGTTAGATGTGTTTCCCTATACGCGAGAAAAGCCGTGTTAAAATATCGATCAAATAATATCGAGGTGAGGTGCTAACAGAAGGATACCTATCTACCAGTTCCACGTAACCTGAAGAGCTTAGTAGTAAATTCGGTACTGTTTTATGCAGTTTCCTAATCTCCCAGCAAACAACAACCTCCATCAACCTCAATAAAACCTAAAGGCAGAGCCTTCAAGAAAATCAACCGCTGACATTCGATACTGGATGCTGTAAATCAGAGTGTTGTTCCACTTAGCCCAGCAATATGATATGATTCGATCAGCAGACAACAAGCAATACTTATCAGCGATACAGACAACCACCCTTTACTCATACAATATCCTTTGAAATACTTAAGATTTTGATGTTATATCGAGGTTTAAACAGGTGATAGTCGAGAGTGGTCCCCTTATTAAATAGAATAAACAACAGTAGGGTAGGTCTATGGACTAGTACAGTTACGTTTAATTTTTATCAAAGTAAAGAAACATGCTCAGAATTAAAAACAGCTCAGTTGTGGTGCCTTAATTCTGGTATTTTGTTTCTTTGGAATAACCACTAAAATGAACCTACAACAAGGCCATCTCAGGTAGTCAAAATGATAATCATTATGATGTTCACCCTCTCTAATTTAAGTAGATTTGGATTAGGATAAGAAGTCCTGGCTGAGCACCCAGTGTAAATACGATCAAGAGATAGTAACATGTCATGAATTCACATGGCCGTCAGGCAAAATCCTTGGTGATCGAAGTGAAATAAAAGTCCGGTCATCCGTTTCGTCTCGCAGCTCATTTGGTAGAGCAATAGGCTGGAAACCAAGTAGTCGCTGGCTCGAATCCCTTCGCATTCCAATTCTTGTTTCACCTCCAGTTATCACCAATCATCTGCGAGTATCATTACTAGTCTGCCAAACCATGGCGATCTCGCTCAGATAGTCAAAATAATAAACAACAAAGATTATTTGCAAACAAACATTCATCTAGTGATATTACTCTTGATATATCCAAGACACAAGCTAAGGACTTTACTCACATTTATCGGTGAATTGATGGGAATCAGTTTTGTGCTGTATGGTTGTCACAGTCGACTAAACTCTACAATTTACTCACTACAAATTTCATCTATAATATTTATACAAAACTACGAAGTCAACTATTTAGATAGAACTTGCATTTGAAATCATTTCAAATAAGAAACAACTGTTTTTGGAACAAAATTTTGCAGTACAATTGAGCTTATTTTAGCCATTAAATAGTTAAAGTTTGAAAATTATGATAAAACTACTTCCTTTAGTTTAAATCTTCTTGTTTAAGACTACTATTGTCCTTTTTGTTTAAATGATTCATTTACAGATGACTATTCATCGTTTGACCAATATCTTAAAGATCAACAGTGTGTAAAGACACGTAGCCAGTCAAACAGTAATCGTGGTTGTATAGCTGCAGCAAAAGAACGAATACATGAGAAAGGTTTACCATACATTGCGATTCCTATTGCAATCGTTGTTTTACAGGTATGAAAAGAATTGTTACTATTTTTAGTATTACTGATAGTAATCAGAAAATTTTAAATTTGTTGCCCGTTGTATATGTTCATGAATTTTATTCAGTATACACTGATATCAGTCTTATTGTCGAATAAATAGAAATCCAGAGGAATCTTCATCTTATCAAATGATCGATATCATAAATCACAACCAACTACTGGCTTTTAAAACTATGTCCGTAAATCACTACCTCCACAAAAACGCAGAGCTTTTTGAAGTAATAGCCTGGCATTCTTCAGAATATACTTCTAAGAAACGACGATTACTTAAGAATCTTTCATGCCAACTAGTGAATTGTTGATATCAACGTAATTCACACATCAACAATCCATATATGGCAGAGCCTTCAGATTTGTGAACTTGAACAGACTAGTTTCGGGCAATCAAAGTGTTTAACACACTTGAGTGCTGCGGCATAGTGAAAACTTACTGATCGATATACCGTTATTTAAATAAATAATTTTCATATATCTTACAAACTATAAAGTTGTGATCGCTTTGTTCACACGAATAGTTTCTTCAACTGTATAAAAGTAGCACCAGTATGCCATCTTCTGAAACTACCGTGTGAGTCAAAAGTGTTAGACAACATTCTTAAATAGAATTCAGTCCTCCGAGCAAAAACCTCCTTCAGCATAAAAATTAAAAATTCAAAGCAACAAATAAATAATTACACTGGATATTCATATAGGCAACACAAATTATAATACACTCATCCAACAAGATTCATTAGAAAAACCTCAAGAATTCGATTTACACATACCTGATAAAATCATTACCTCAAATGCGCCTAGGTAATCAGTTCACCAGATACTAGCCGGTTCTAGGCATGAATAAAGAGGGAAGGTTGCACATAGGGCTAGCAACCCTACCCCCTAAAACCAATCCGATCGCTGAAGAAACTTCAAAGCACAAAGAAATTATAAGCAATAAAAACGAAATTATTCCTTGCTGGAATCGGGGAGGCGGAATGAAGCCTGTTGGTGAAAGTCTTCGGGAAGCCAGTCGGCTGATGTGTCTTCCCACTCTTGATAAAAACGAAAATAAACATAGGGACATGAATGTCCGCACCATGTATGAACCTATCAAGGCTGCCCAGATTGCAAAAGAGATGAGCAGGTATGGCATGGAAATGCTTGGAATCTGCGAAAGCAGATGGAATAGAAGTGGACTCTTCAAACTCCTAACTGGAGAGTCAATAATCTACTCCGATACTGCAACCCAGACGACAACCACCAGCACACGAAGGAAGTGGCTGTCATGATGTCTCCAAGAACATCGAAGGCTCTCATGCAGTGGGGACCAGTTTCCTCCAGGATCATGACGGCGAGATTCAACTCAAAAGGAAGGAAGGTCACAATCATACAATTCCAATGATATGCACCTACAAATAATGCAGATCAAGAGAAGAAGGAGGAATTCTACAGACAACTACAATCAGTAATGGACAAGACCTCACCCCAGTTGGCGACATCAAAATTAATTCTAATAGGTGGGGTGACATGAATGCCAAACTGGAAGTGGACAACACAGGAAGAGAATCAATCATGAGTCGAGAAACACTCGATGAAATCAACGAGCATGGAGAACCGTTTGCAGGCTTTTGCGCATTCAACGATTTGGTGATTGGAGGCGATGCAGTGTGCACAAACACAAGGATATTCACAAGGTGGTGATATGGATTTGGTTTCACCAGACACCAGGACACACTAAAACTCAGACCAGATTCATCTCAATGTGAAGAAGGAGACTCAGCCTACTGGACACTAGATGAAGAAGGGGAGCAGATGTAGGTTCACAGGTTTCTCAGTTCGATTTCTCGTGGTATCACTCAACAAATATACATAATAAGGCGGAGATGGATGAGACTGGACATACACTGAGAAAGCCCATTGGGGACATCACGCACCAGGTCGTCGAGAGAAATACAAAGGATAAACGAGGGTTGGACGTCTGAGTCGAGGGTGACAAGGAGGAGATCATGTAAGGAAGAAATGGAAGCTTCTGGGCAGTCATGGAGCAAGGTTCAAAAACCTGCAAGGAAGAGATTGAGGTGGTGACGTGCTACTGAAGCCCTAGGAACCCACTGGAGAATAAAAGTAATGATAATATGAATATGGAAAACATACAGAACGGAATACCAATTGAGAAGTATGAACATATATATAATATACATTATATATCCATACATAGGCATATGAGGGAATTATTACTATTTTACCCCTGGGTACCTAGTTGAACGTAGGGCTAGCCCTATGCCCAACATTCCCTCTTTATTCAGGCCTAGAACCGGCTAGTATCTGGTGAAGTAGTTAACCAGGAGACGTGCGTTTCCTGTGAGTGATAGATCATGCAAATAGATAGATTTATCGGAGTTATGCATGCTTATCTATTGTATCAATAGCGTTTGTTTTCATATTTGTTGACCCAGTAAACTGGTATTTGTTAGCCTATGCAACTAGATGAGTTAGATATTATGGAGGAAGAGTGGCTAGCAGTGGAATCCTGGACGCACGTTTCGTCCCATTTACGACTCGCCAGCTGGGTTTTTCTGCGTTCCAGTGGCTGGTTTTATTCTAAGCAGGACCCGAACGCGCCAATGTAGACAGAAAAATTCTGTCCAGTCAACGACGGGAGAGTACACACAACAACACTAAAACTATACCCGTCGCGCAAGATGTGGTTAACATGACTCGGTGGTCTAGTGGATAGCGCCTTGGTGTTTCAAGCGATTGGTCCTTAGTTCGAGTCCAGGCGGGGACAGCGTTACTCACTCAGAGGCAGATACATCCAACTGACGAGTCCTAAATAGGACGGATAGCGTGTCCTGGAATCTACTGCTATATACTCTCGATCACTAATGTATATAATTAAAGCAGAGGCAGTTTCGATGCATCCAGGCAGAAACCCATATGCCAGAGATATTGATCAATTTTGTACAATGAAGGACAATATAATACAAACAACAACAATTAAATAAGTTAACTAAGTCAAGTCATCGAACGAAATTTTCTATATGCTTTCTGATCACTTCTACTAGTGATCAGTTTCGAAATGAAGTGCTGTTGTTTAACAAACTATTTATGCTGATTTTCTATTTTTTAACTTACATGTGCTGACATTAATTTTATTTTTGCAGCTTGTCTGTATTGGACTATCCATCTTTTTAATCAGCAGAATCAAGAAATGGGATGAAGAACTTTACTACTAAGTAGTACAAATCATAGATACACTTTCTTCTCCTTCCTTCTGAAAAATATAAATAAACTTAAGCAATATTATAAATGAAAGACATTGTTTTCTCAAGTTTGTAACTGCTGTACCAACCGGCACCACACAAACATAAATTATTTTTTTCGAGAAAATAAGAGAAAAGCCGGTTAAATGACAGATTATGCTGGGTACCTATCAAAGGATTTTGTCATCCAAAGTGTTCACCTGTTTTCGTTTCGTTTCTGTATGACCAGTCTGATTTCTGTTTTTAAATAAACGAATAATATTTATATTTGTAGCGCACCTGTTCGTTTTACATTATTTTCTCACAAACATTCTTCTTTGATTGGTTATCTTGTAAATGCATATAAGCGTGGGTGTATTTACTTTTTATCTCGTACTTTGTCCTTAATATAATTGATTTTCATTTTCAGTACCATATAATTTAAACAAATATTGTGGTGCAACATGTGGGAAGTAATGTTTGTTACTGTTTCATCCTTCCAGTAAAACAGATTAGAGTTAAAATGTTTTAAGATAAATGAATATAAATATGTCTAGACCTTAGTTGTTACTAACGTCCTGGAGGAATGTAAGCGCTTAGTCTGATTTCGTCATTACACAAATAAGATTTTATATAATCCCTGTGTGTTAGAAAATGAATACACACTTATAAGTTTACAAACTAGTGATATACTGTTTATTTGTTCAAGAGCAAGTTGTATTATGAATGACTTCTTTTTACTACCGATCAGAATTATCAATTCTACAGGTGACAGGAAGATTCAGTTACATCTTGAGAGTTGCTTCTTAAAAATGAAGAAACTCGTACCGTGTTTTTTGTTTTAAAGTGGAGAAACACACTACCTACCTCACTGAATAGTGTCGACTGAAACTTTAATAATGATTCAAACGAGCCATTGAAGAATATTAGGTGTCTACACCATGAAGAATAACTGTAGATTTTTGGTCGTCTAGAAAGTTTAACGCCTGACTTTATCGATAATTATAATTTCTGACTTGTGAACAGTTGCTTTTAAGCATAATAAAAGTCTGATTCTGTTATTTAATATTTAACTTAAAAATGTTCAATGAGTTGTTTAGTTTGTATTTTCATTCTTATAGATTTTGCTATACTTATTCTACTTTTGTACGCTGATAAAGAAAAGATAATTCCCTTGATTTGATTCTACTGTCGTAATTCTCATCTGGAAACTGTATAGGTTTGTGAATAAACCAGTCCTTGAAGTAATGACTCAAGACAAATTAACTTTTATTGAGCTTCAGCAAATCTTCCCACTTAAATACACCAGCTCTTTGAAGGAGAATAGTTTTCATTTACTCTTGAACAAGACATGCGTTTAGGTACTTTGAATTCGAACATTCCTTCTGTTTGATGGCATTTAATCATATCCGAAAATTGAATCTACTATCATGAGTTATTTATCTGTACTAACATTTCGTATTTCCAATGGAAATTTTCTTTCAAAGACAAATGAAATTAAGACAGAACAAATGGATGAATCCCATCAATAATAAACTGATAGCCTTTTGAGACCTTTTCAGAAGAATGTTAGAGGGTTAATGAACAAGCCATTCATATCAAAGAATGAAACAGAACTGTCTGATGTTGAAGTAGATGTGTTTATATGCAAAACAGCCTAAGCGATTTGTGAGATGTTCGTCTAGCTGGCTAAACAGAATGTGTAATAAGAGATGAAAGAGATAATGAAGTAACTGATACTTAAATCTAGTAACTTGGTCAATTACTATCTTCATGAGACTTAGCATCATGACACATCTGTTCAAGCTGAAGTACTTGAGGCCAGAATATCAACTTTTTAGGGACCAGGGTGAATTGCAAAGAAATTAAAATGTGCTGAGAAATATTGAAAAGGTACAATGTGAAGTGAATCCATACTTTAAGAGATGGCAAAAAGTAAAGTGGAGATCAAACTGTTGTTAAGGTGTGTATATCTAAACCACTGTTATCGACCTGGAGCAATATCATCTTGAGTGTCCAGTCATATGTTTTGTATATCTTATAAATCCAAACTATGACCTTGACATGTGACTTCATAGGTTATCTACAATGCCTTGGTTGAATTACATTCAGCCTCTTCCAAATATAGTTTGACCAGCGCAATGCGGTAAGAAACTTGATGATTTGGCATGAATAACAAATTTTTCAGAAAAGTTACTGTAGATTTCCAAACTCATCATTTGACTTGATTTACCTTCATTATATTTTACGCGTGAATTCAATATTGCTTTCTCTGCAGTCCGAATACAAGTGTACAATGTCATGGTGACTCTAAAAGTCAAAAGCCTCCAAAGGTTGTATTTCAAAGCTCTACAGTTGGAGACAGTGATCTGTTACATAATGCAGCCAACCCAAAGTTGGCATTCTGATATCTCGCCAGAGCCACTGCTACTCTCAAGTCAGTAAAGTCACTAGAATCGTCTGTATCTGCCATGAGATCTTGTCACTCAACGCATCAAACCTGATCCACTGTCTTAGCGTAGCTGAGGAATACTAGTTAAGAAGCCAATGGTCTGATTCCTATTGCAAATCACGTTTCCACCGCATACTGATTGTCGTCCCCTTAAACATTAACATAGAATTTTTAAATTACCAAGTTTAGAATTATTTGAGTTTTGAATTCTGTTTATTACTCATATCTAAAAAAATCAAGTAGGATTGTGTATATAATCCAATATCGCATCATAGACAGTTCAAGGTTACATTCTCTCAGGTTGTGGTAAAAATAACAAAACAGAACGAATGCCTAGACACTAAAAAAGGTATTCTTTAGAGTTAACCACTAACACAATATTCATACGCATGAAGTATCAAAATAATAGTGATAGTAATAAATCATACCACTGTGCCTATGTTTCGTAATCATAAGTGGTAAAACTCAACGGTGTTTCGTTGAGTTTACCAGCATTTCAAATTCAGACAGTCTGAAACCATATTGATAAAAGTCGTATACTTAAGACATTCATCCTTTATCCTCTAAATTTTCAATGAGTAGCAACGGTACACAGTCATCACGAGTTAACTAGTGTAGCACATAAATTAGTAAATTTAAAACAGAAATCGATCACAGGAATATGTATTCTTTTACCATTATGGTTACTTTAGTCATTTTCTTTAAGGATTTGGCACCAAATAAATAGAGCCATACAAGCTTTATAGTAGAAATTTGACTAACTGTGATTTTGGCAATCTCGTATAGTTTTTGTATCCGTCTTCTAAGAATCTGAAGAGGCTCACTAAATATGGAAACTATTAGTCGTGAGAAATATAACACGTCATACTGGAAGGGGCGATTCGGATACGAAAGCAGGTACACCTACTGTCAACACGTGGGACAGTAGTCGTCATTTGCAAAATGTGCTTCATTTCCTTCTGCTTCTCTCTTGACTTGCTCTTCATAAGCCTACTTGGTGCCTTGCGTTTCTCTTGGCAGAATCCTTACCAATTGCTGGTGATTCTCTATGAATTATGCCACCCACTCAACATTATTTATTATATTATTTATTTGTCCCTTGGGTTCCTGATGGAACATAAAGCTTCAGCAGCACGTCTCCAGTGCACTCTGTTCTCTGCAAAATTTTGAACTTGGTTCCACGACAGCCAAGAAGCTCTCATTTCTTCCTCACATATCTCCTCCATGTCACCCTCATATCGGATGCCCAACTCATGGCTTCCCATCTGGGTTCCACTCGAAGGCCTGGCGCGTGATGTCCCCGAATGGTCTTCTCAGTGTATGCCCAATCCGTCTCCACTTCCTTCTGCATATTTGTTGCGTGATAGATTTTTAGTTGGTTCGTTGCCAGAGTTCCTTGTTGCTTATTCCCCTCTCAACATATACTATTTATATTCATTCTTGTCAGCAACGCCCACTAAACTCGTCCCCCGTCAAAATTTCGGACTTCCAACCGCAAGAAGGCATATATCCTCGTTCTTTACACTTCATCTGATCTCTGACCTTAAACGGTTTCCATTTACATTCTTCTCTCTGCTGGAATTTTTCAGCATAAGCTTTCTGTTTTTGTTCCACATTTCTGATTGCCTGTTTCCGCTCCTTTCTCAATCTTGTCATGTTCCACGGCTGTTGTTGAGGCCAGGTCTTACTATGTATTGGGAGCCGTGGTTTCCTACCATATATTAACTGGAACGACCACTTCTTGGCTGTTCCTCGTACCAAGGCACGATGAGGTAATAATATTAACGGCAGTTCCGTCTCCCAATTTCCTCCTTTCAAAACCATCCACTCCTTAAGTGTAAGGTCATTCCGTTCTATCAAACCGTTAGTCTGCGAGTGGTATGGCGTCATTCTTATCCTCTTGATATCAAGCTGCCCCATAGAAGATTCGAATTCTTCACCCTCAAAACAAGGACTTTGGTCGGTCAATATCGTTTACGGCACATCGTGATCCATAACAATATGCTGCATCACCGCTGAGGTCACTGTCTTCACGCGCTGGTCCGGAATTGCGACAGCGTCTACTCATCATGTAGCATACTCCGCCACTAGATGTAAGCGGAATTGGTCCCATTACGTCCACATACCACAGACCATCCAGTGCAGAGTCCGACGTTTGAAGGCGAATAAGTCCTAATGGATCCTGTTCCACTTTATGTACACTTTATGTATGTATGCGACCTCAGGTAGTTCGTTTTCTTCATCCGATCTTGATAAGAAGTCTGCCAACCAGTTTTCTTTCCCTGCCACATGGTCAGCTGTGAAATCGTACTCTTACAGTCGTAACATTCAACATGATAATTTTCCCCCAGGGTCTCTTGCTGTCCGAAACCACTGTAGAGGTCTATGATCAGTTTCAATATCGAATCGTTGGCCGAGGAGGTATGATCTCCATTTCCCAAGCGCACAAACCATCTCCAGACACCCTTTTTCAACCGTAAAATACTTCTCTCCTGCAGGTGTCAGGATACGGCTAGCATACTCCACAACTCCTTCAGTCCGT